AATCCTACAAACTATTTTCTAATTTTTATATTCTGGATGAACTGGCTTAAATCAGAAACTTCAATTTGATAATAACGAGAACAAAACAAGGTCACTGATAATTTTTGCATGAGAACACCTCTTTTGCTGAATTACAAAAATGTTAATTGAGGGCAGAAAACTATTAATGGATCTAATGAGTAATATATCAATAATAAGAATGCAAAAGCCAATTTTGTGACCTTACAACTTCTGAAGGAAAACTATTTTTGTAAGAGGTAGTCCACGAATTACTTCACACAAATGTGGATGATTTTTATTATCCATTTTCTTTAGAAGTCGAGCTTGAACCCCCAAAAAATTATGAAAAAGTGTGTCTACCCCCTCTTATTTATAAGTAAAAATTAATTAATTAAATAAACCCATAAATATAACATCTCAATTTATTTATATTTTTTTACATTTACTTTCTTAATATCTTAACATTTTGTTACCTTACTAGAAGACAGGATAAAAAAAATTGATTTGGTAAATACGAAATTTAAAAAAATTAAAAGTTGTTTTTAACACTATATTAACATTGCCATTCCCTTTTATAACGCATTGTAAAACTTTCTAAAACCCCCCTCTCCTCCTTTTTAGTTTTACATAATTTATGGACAACACCTAAATGATTTCAAGAAAATTTGTTTGATTAGAATAAATTTTTCCATCATAACTAATGTTGAATTCTCATTGTATGGTACAAGGTCTGAAAGGATGAAAATCGATTGTCAGACTTAAGAAGGTCACTTACTGGGGATTTGGAATACTTCATTGGTTTTATGAGCATTAAGGAAAATTCAAAAACTACTTAAAGACTATTTCAGAGACAGTCACTTATCAAGGATGGACTTTCAGAGCAAATTCACTGAAATAAAATTAATGAAAATTTAAGAGCGTTAGTAACATTTCATCACAAACTAATAACACTATGCACCACTTGTCCATTTTAGCAAAAACAAAGACATTTGGAACCAAAATGTCCTAGATGTCCATGCTGACACTTTCTAAGTTTGTCAGGCAACAAAGTTATGTAACACAATCAAGGTGATTTTCAATTCAATTACTGGAACTTGTTATGGATAATAAAAGGCATTTACACAACAATAAAACACACATCTACATTTTTTTTTACATAAAGCCTAGTTTCTCGACAAATAAATTGAAACTTGAAATAAATTAACTTATAGTTACTGCAGAAATAGATTAACTGTCGATAAGCAGTAAGTAACTTTAACAGCATAGGTAACTGAAGAAACATTTTCAGAAGCAAATTAATTAAATCAGAAATTACAAATAACGTCATGGACAGCATCTCCAACATGAACGTGTCTTCAATATGAAGAACAAACAGAACTGTATTTTAACAGTCATTCTGCCCCCACACAATTCAAAATATTCATACAAATTTGTTATTTGTTGTTTTACAAAACTGAATAACCCTATTATTATGTATCATCACCTTAATGTAATCACTATGATTTGTTCCCCTCAAAATTTATAAATGCAGTAAGTACAGATCTAAGAAGCATTGACAGCATGAAACTGAAAACTATCACTGTGGATAGATCATATTATACTACTTGCTTTTTAATGTGACAAAATAATATGGTTTTACTGTTATTAATTACACTTATGACACATAGGAAATTAGGTCATTCATCTTGCTCAAGTATTTAGTTTCACAAATCATTCAGTTAATAAATATCTTAATGTAGTTTTCAGTTTATTTATGTAGACTTCACTTGCATCTTTGTACTAATATATAGATTGCCTTCAGAGTACTAAAAAATTAGCATACTTTGTATTTCCAAACTAATCTAATTTATAACTATTTATCTCTAACACTTTAGAAGCAAAAGCTTGTAATAAGTAATAACTAGAACTTTATCAATTACATACAACAAAATATTTCAAAATTTAGAATTGACTATTACATTTCCACAAAAAATTAAAACAAAAGTTATGATACTAATTCTATAAATACAACTCTTTAAGAAATGAAGTTCTGAGAGAATTGTACCCATAAAATCTACAATCATTCCTCTTATCATAATATAAAATTTGTCATCTGATAGAAGCTGCTGTTCATTATAGTAATCCTGGGGAGAACAAATATGACGAAAAAAAAATATTTTTTTTAGATAGCACTGTATAAACTCACTCTCCTCATTGAGTTTTGAATAAACAATAACATTATTGCTCAGAAATGATAGGACCTGTAGGTAACCACCAATGTACCCCACTTGTGTGTGTGTCATAACTTCATATTTTAGCATAATTTGAGAATGGAAAGCAAAACCAATTTACAAAGCCACAAAACTTTCCACATCACAACAGCAGTTTATGTATCAAGGCTGAATTTTGGAGGTATTTGGACAATATTGATAAATGGCAGTCCACAAAGATTCATACTTCAACCAAGTTGCATGTAAATTTTCTACCCCTACCACTAAAAATAGAAATTTCTGATAAATAAAGCAAGTACAAAAACTTATTATTACTTTATTTTCAATATGAAAAGTAAATGTGAACAATACTTTTGTTCATTAGTCACCAGGGATTCGAAAGTATTGAACTGATTTCTACACATTACTGCATATTTTCATTGGATTACTCTAGCACAGTTTTTTCCACTCTAGTCTGAAAACCTCAACTTGGATGATTAATGGTACAGAATTGGCTGCTTTAAAAACAGTGTACAAAACACAAACTAACGCATAAACAGACAAGTGAGTTATTATGCAACACAAATGAAAAGGAAAAGCTCTAGGAAAGTTATTATTCTTTCAGTCTTCATATATAATTTTGCCAAGACAATAAATTCCTGAGACTATCTACAAACGTTTCCCAGAAAAGATAAATAAAGTTTTGTATGTACAATAACAATTTCCTTATCTACCCCCAAGAGCACGCAGCACATAAGGAAATCAGGGCATCGAACTTGTATGTATGTGTGTGTGTGTGTGTGTGTGTGTGTGTGTGTGTACACAAGAAATCATGAGTAACTGTATCATTAAATTATGTTGAGGCAGTGATACATAATGATGTGCATTATTACATTGAAATACTTTTCTACAAATTCTATAAACAATTGTTTACAAGAAAAGAAAGCATAAAAAAGATGAGATAATGGGAAATCCAACAGAAGGCAAAACCACATAACACCAGAGCAGAGGAAAACAAGGTTCAAAGCATTACTAAAAAACCAAATAAATGGACAATATTGATAATTCATGAAAATAAATAGCACCATTTCATTTCTGCTGAAAGTATCATTGTTACTTAATCCTGGATTTCTTGACTTCTGCCAGCATTTCACTTGTTTCAGTCCACAATAAAACCTTACTAAAATGAAACATCAATTCTTTTGTTATTTAAGAGTTTCAGATTACACAGGCTAATGTTAATATAACAAAACCATGCTCAATACTCTATTGGTAAACCAACTTTTCCATTACAGAATGGAACCAAAGATAATTATTTATATTCATCACTAACCTCAAATGCCATTTCCAGTGAAAGGCACAAATGTTACAAAACATTACACATAAAATATAGTTGAATAAATAATTCAATATTTATGTTTATTGTACTGAATGCAACATTAATTTTATTGCATTACTTTTATGAACTAAAAGACCATAAGCAGGAATTATTTTTCACGTATCCAACAATAAATTTAAGAATAATCTTCAAACATGGTAGGACACAATTATCACATTTCCTCATTCGTAATTATTCAGACAACAAAATTTTAGAAGATCTGAAGATGGCCATGAGAGGAATCCAAATGAACTCAAAGAGAACCTTAGTTTTATGTTCTCAAATGTGGCCTATATTAATATTGCAGGAAAACTAAAACACATAACTTACAAGAATATTCTGGTAGTTGTTATACATACATAAAACAAAGGTGAAATATTTGACTATCTTTTGAGACAACAGATTATTCTCCATTATCATACAATTGTGACAATAGTGAACTTTACAGATGATAATAGTTGATACATTTTATGTATACTGCACAATCATGTTTTGCATCATATATTTACATTTTTGTACAAACATTTATACAAACTTATCATCCTTGGCTCTTCAGTAGCTAAAAAATGAACACAGTTGTTTGTTTGTTTTTAGTACAAAACACATCAAAGTTATTCCCCTTGAAGCTTTTCACTATATTCTGCAAGAGCATTTTCTCTCATTGTTAGAATAACAATTTCCTCCAATACAACAGCAATTTGCTTTTTTCTTTATTTCTACATTGGACAAAAATAAAATAAAAAAAACTCACAAAATATTCAAGGACAAAAAATAAATTAATTATCCATTATTATTTAACAAGTACATATAGAAATATACTGTCAAATTGTCAATGAAGGGGAACAGAACTGAAGAGTTTAAAATAATATACTGGAATACTGATATGCACACACGCACCTGGAGTCCATTAGCACAAAACATGCAAACGTAAACTTATGGTATAAAGAAAGAATTCCTTGCCTTTTTTCTGATAGCACATCTGTAAAGTCTATAAAACATAATTACTTAATGTTACAATATTTTTTTCTTCATTAATCTATCTAATAATCCAATTAACTTTCTGAAACAAGTTTCCAACAGAAAGTACTTTTCTTTTTTTTCTCTTTGTTGCCAAAAAATCATTATTTTCATAAGAAAGAAACGTATGAACACTCTCCAAAATAAAAATGTATCTTTTAATGAAATGAAATGAGTAATCATTACATACCAGAAACGCTTTCACACTAACATGTTCACAATTTTCCAGTTTATGACAGATAGAACTCATCAAGGAGGTAATAATTACACTCAGTGGCGAGGCATGGCAATATGGCATGGTCTTTGCCAGATTTGCTCAATATCTAGGTCTACCTTTCTGAAGCAACAGGAGAGGGAGAAGATATCATAAGACGTTTTGTTTTTTAAATGCTCAGAACAACGTGATAGAAACCTTGGTATGATGGCAAAACTGAAATACATTCCATCCAATAAATGTGAAATGAAATAATTATTTTAAAATTCGTTTAGAATTTGGTTATCATTGCTTTATATGAGTCAAGTCATCCTGTTGAAGTGGGAAATTTTTGAATCTTCTTTCTTTCTATGGATTCTCAGAGTTCTTTTTCAATAATTACATTGGACAAGTTTCATATTCACTGTTCTCCTTATGTTTCTTTTCTAATTATATACTTTTTTTAAAGCAGAAAAACCCCTTTCTCTGCTGGTGGAGATAATACCATGCGTATTAATTTAGATAAATGGAAAATTTCCACAAATATGCAGTCAAAATTTTCTTTTTCCAAAAATTTAAGTTTCCCTGGAGATTTGTCTCGAAATGTTGCAATTTTATTTTTAAAAAATCAGTTCATTTTTTTCAAAGTCCCACCAGTTCAAAAATAATTTTTTATTCCAAATCAGCAAACAATCAGAAAAATTCTTCATTCCATGATCAAAAGCAAGAATTTCCATTCAATCAAAAGCTTCAATTTTATGTAAACCAAAGAGTTTTTGTTTCAGCTAAACTATGATGTCTTAATTTCCCTTCACAATGCATGACAATCAAAAAAACTAAAAACACCACAAACAATACTGTCACAATTTCATACTACGTTGTAATGGCACATTTCACCAATGGCTGGGAAAAGCCAAGATTATACAAAAACAGGGATGACTGGAGTGCTTACATCCTACTAGTTGTTTCATATCCATTTTTCAGCTGTTTCTTTTATGATTACCATTAAAATATCTGAAAATTTTCCCCATATGTTCAATTCTTCTCTAAAATATTGAAAATGTATTATTTTCGTAATTTTATTTGGTTATCAGTGCATCTATTGCTGACCAGATGCCTCACCACTGATTACATTACATACAAAAATCACAGACACTTTCAGGCAAGTAACAGAAATAACAGTATGTATATAAATAATTAATTCAATCTTAACATTCAGTACATACAATTGAACACAACTGCCCCTGATATGCCAGGAGACTAATGCTTTTCTGCCACTTACAGTAGCTTGAAAATTACAAAAACAAACCTGCAACTATGATACAAATTATCTTTTCATTACAACATTAAATAAAAATTATCTGTACAGATGAAATCCATTTAATATAAATATTAATGTTATTAATTCTCAATTAATATTTCTTCACAAACAGAAAAGAAAATATCTGTTACTTAAATTAATTTGTATTAAATTATATTATTTTTTAATAGAACTATGTACATTAAGCAATTTAAAAAATCATAAATGCAGTTGCCACACACTACCATGCATTTTACCTTTCCTGTAATCGTGGAAATAAATTACTAGCTAATTCATCTCAAAATGACACACTTATAATCTTCAGTCCATTCAAAGAATTTTTAAAGAGCTTGATACTGTGCGGCAAAATATATATCGAAAGAGAGCACACTCAGTAGAAAAATTGGTTAACTAAAACATATCTTGCAGGTTACAGATTGAACAAAATCATATTTATTGGTCAAATAAGTCAGTTCCTGTGATTGTTGTACATATTGTCGAATTTAGTGCTTCTTCATGTACACATTAAATTAATGCGATTATTCAGAAACAACAAAGCTTTGCTTACACAGAAGGCTGGCTTTGAAACTCCTGAAGGTCCCACCAGCAACAAAATACGCAATTAGAGCTGTTGCAACCATAATGATGTAGATCAAAAGAAGACTGAATTCATAATAAAACTTCCGGTTCAATAATGTCTGAAGGGGAGGAAAGAAAAAAATTATGAACATTTAAAGCAGTACACAATGCATAAACTTACACTTTAGACATTAAAAGCCACCTTATCATTTACAAGGCCATTGTAATTCAGTACATTAAAGGAAATTGACATTTCATACTTACAAGGCACGAAGCAGTCATATGAGATCCCACAACCCATATGATGAGAGCATAATTTCTATTGTCAAGGCCAACAAACATTATCACACCCCAGAATGTGTGAAGCAGTATGAAGCAAAGAGTGGTAGCAGCTGAGGTGATAAAAAAGAGGTCAGAACTACCATCTAGTCCCATGGTCCCTGGACCCACAGCATCAGCAAGTACATTTACTAAAGCAAATGCACCACTCATTACACCAAACCCCAGACCTGACACTGGAAATTCAAATAAGACATGTATTTATAAATGGAAAAAAAAACATTTATCATAAACAAGATAAGTAATGTGTGCCATTGGATAATTGTGATGTTTATTACAAAATTAAACTGTTAGATCAAGTTTGTCTTTTTCAAGTCTATTTTATCTCAGAATTGAAATGAATGAAAAAACCACAAGAGATGAGCATGAATAAAAGATGGAGCATAATTAAGAGAGTTTGAATTGCAATAGAAAATGCCTGTGATAGCCAGGTGAAAAAGGAAATCATGAGTAAATTTCCTCCCTCTTCACACTACATCATTCTTTTCTGAACATTATCATAATCATGATTACCTTAATCAGAACTATGATTTATATGTAATAACAAGTACCTAAATATGGACTAAAAATATTCAAAATTTGGAGTAAAGCATAGGCTAATAATTAAATATAAAATTAAAACAGAAAAATAGTGTATTAATCAAATGACAGTTGCATAACTAGAACAGTCATTGAACTTAGTTTTCATAATGCCATGAATTATGTTTTGAACGTTCAAAAAATTGTCTGCCCAGCTGAGAATTCTTTGATGAAAGGGTTTAAATTTTCTCGAATTGGTCTTAGGCGTTTTTTATATTAAGACTAGAGATTTCATTCTCAGTGCAATTTATTTCTCAATATTAGGTGTATGACTCTCTATACACTTTTTAGAAATATGATTCGTTACCGTTTTATATTCAAGATAATATTCTTAAGGTGAGACATTTAACATTACATGTACAAAGTGATTAACGTATAACTTAATGTAAAATTAGCAATTTTGAAAAATATAATAATACTGTATTTAATGATTACTATATTTTTTGATATAGCTGCTTTTGGTCGTCATCCCCGTCAGATTTGCTGCGCTGCGTTGGTTTCATAATGCCATGCTAGTAACAATAGGCAGTAATGTCATCACCATCAGTTCAAAATATGAGTAGGTTTTGCGTGATTTTTGCCGAAATAAAAGCAAATTTGAAAACGAGATTTTCTCAAAAAAATAACCAATTTTGTTTTTTTTGCAATACTTAAAAATATCCTGACATTCTGAAATAATAGATGAGAAATCATCAAGAAATTGCCACACAGTAAGGATGCATTTGTCGGCAAGATGACATTGGAAACGTGTATTAGTCCAATGAATGAGAAGACGATCATGTGGTATTTTACTTTCTTATCTATCTTCTACTGTAAACTAGTGGTGCAGAAACAGCACGTACTTTCTCGTCTGAAAAGTACTCAAATTTTCAAAAAATTGCACATGAACTTCTTTCAAAATCTGTATTTAAGACACAGATTTCATTAGGGGAAAAAATTTATATCTTTAACATTTTAGTTGCAGGAAGACTTTGAAAAAATTTTGAACTTTTACAATTTTCAAAAACTTAGAGATTTTTATGAACATGAGACCTGCACCATTCTCTTAAAAGTCCTTCACACTATTCAAAATAAAAATAAAAAAAACATTTAAAAAAATCAAATACAATGGAGCCACTTTTAATGTCCCAAGGGCTTCATGTAGAGTACCCCTAAAGTTAAAATAAAATCCATAAAATTGAAATAAATTCAAATTCAAGGGGCCGCGACATCAGCCAGATCAATTGGGGAATATCAATTTTGGAGAAAATCAGCTGAACTGTCTAGTCGCTAGTGTTCACAGACAGACATTTTGCCATCATTCAATTTTTCGGCATCAAGGACCCACAAAACATTGATTTTGGCTACACCACGAGTTAGAGGATGATAATGATCATGATGATGATGATAATAATAAATAATAAAAAGAATATTTATAGTCATATATACAATTACAATTGTGTATGACGAGTCAATATGATGTCTTGGGTGGAGAGTGCGAAGTTACATTACTGTCCAGGCGCAAAACAAGGGCCATCTCAAGGGACCAGGAAAACTGAACAAAACCGGATTGAGATGGGGGTCATTGGCCTACGGATTATACTACAATACTTGCTACAGATAGATTAGAATATTATACAGAAGATAATTACTTTTAGTAGCAGATAATTCAACATTTCAAGATGTTGTCATTTTAATGCTACTACTTATAATAATAATAATAATAATAATAATAATAATAATAATAATAATAATAATAAACCATAAATTCTGTTGGCAACTACATAAAATTTAACAATATTAGTACATTGTGCACTTAAAACTTGAAATGGTAAGGAGGAGGCAAGTTGCGACAAGTTTTTTTTCTTTTTTTTCTTCTTACAATTTGTACACATAGTCCTACTGCGGCACCTAATGTGTCTAGCGAATCCAGAGAGAAACAATTTTTTTTTCTTTTTGTTTTTGTCAGGCATTCTCCTTCTACGTCACAGGATGTGATATGCCAGTTCTTTTTTCTTTGCCTCAGCTCGAAAGCCACATGTTAACATGAAACATTTACAGAAAGTTAACATGAAACAGAAAGTCTAATGGGATAAGAAATTCTTATTTATTTATATTTTTTAAGGGAAATATCGGATTTTTTTTTCTAAATTCAGAAACTGTAATAAAGAGTTTTTCTGCCGAAAATTCACCATCTTTTTGCGCAGCATTAATAACTTTCTCTTACACCATAACGGGAAAGTAACAAGTAAAGAAATGCTACGGCTGAAATCGGCGAATTTTCGACAGAAAAACTCTTATGTAGCGCCGTGGTATCCAAAAAGAAATTAAATCTTGTTCCTACACGTAGTAAATTAATTCCTGGAATTTGGCAGATTTCTTGATTTGTGGGCCCTCCATATCGACAAATTGACGGCAAAACCGACTGTCCGTGCGCTCATGATCAACAAAAGCGCCCAAACTATTTTTCTCCAAAACTGATATTCCCCCGTCGATCTCGATGACGAACTCGACGCCCTGCAAGTTTGAAACGGATTTTTCAATTTTTAGTGTACTTTACTTCATCACTTTCAATCTTCTACGGTTAGGCGGACATGGCACGTTCCATGGGCGCAACTTACAAAGGGCGCTACTAAGCTTTCGACATTTACGAAAAAGGGTTGAATTAATCATTTTTAAATTATAGAATTCAACTTTACACAATAGATGAAATAAAATAAACTTTCCTTTAAACATTTAAAGATCGTGGAGCGCTCGGCCCGTCAAAAAATACGCTTACTTTTCGCCATTAAATCTCGAAAAATAGTGCTTCAATTTAAAAACAAAATAAATGTATAAAAAATACTGCATAAACTAAAATGACAACTAACAATCTGAATGCTTAATTACTTGTACATATATAATTTATATGTGTAACATGTAACTGATACTAATAAATGCACAAACATTACAACTTTTGTGTAGACTTGAAATGCGCTTTTATTGATTTTACTGAGGCAATGACAATTTCAAAGTCAATTTTCTCAGTTTCTTCTCTTTTAACACTCAATAGAGAAAAACCACACAATTGCTATTGTCCAATTGAAGCTCTTAAACAGGATAGTATTCATTTTAATTTGCTGAAAGATCTCTCACAGCTTGCAATAGAAACAAGAGTTAACATAATTTGAATAGCGATATGTACATACGGAAAACCACTCTTGTCTCCATATTTGAAATGTGTACAAGTTGTGGTTATTGAAAACTATTTGTTGTTAATGTTCAGTAAGTACATAATATATTTTTAAAATAGTAACATTTTTGTCATGACATTTTTACACATACAGAGAAACGTTTGTTAAAAACTACACAAATCACCTTGATAAGTGTAGCTTCCCATGAATAACTTGATGTGCATAAAACATACACGTGGTCAATATGTTTTAAGCAAAATTAACATATTACATAAAGTGTGCTTTCTTACCATAAGCTAAAATGTGCTTGTTGTTTGAAATCTCTGTATTTGCATCAGTTACTTTCTTCAGACCACCTTCAGCTTTCCTCAACAGTTTATAAATCAGGAAGCGAAATAATTCTTGAAATAAGACAGAAAACACTAAACCAAATGCTAATGTATTTTTTAATGGTACCACGGAGAACCATAACAATGAGGATAGCAGTAATGATAACAACCAGAAGAAGGCACTATAAAAGAAAGAAAAAAGTATTATTGTTGACTATATAAGTTATTTATAACACATGTGTGCATTATATTACTATACAAGATTGGAAAATTGACTATACTCGAATCAACCCCAACCAATTGGGTATAGTAATAAGATGTCAAAATCGTAACATTTTTCCATTTTGCAAAAATTAGATTTAATCTGAAATTTTGTACTAAGTATTAATTTAGTGTTCAGGATTTTTTTCTGTAAGAGGTAACATTGTACTCAATAAGGAAAAAGTTAAAATGCACTTATTGTATTCTTTTCAAAATGACTTACTGCAGATATGATTCTGAAATTGAAATAGCAGCAACTTCTGCTCTACAATGCAATGTAATACCGAATTTATACTGGAAAAATCACTAGAACTGTATGATCATGTATACATCATGTATCTTTTACACATGCAAATTAAAAATCTTTGTGGAAACAAGTTGCACATTTTTCTTTCAACGATTTTAATCTCTTGTATTTAAGAAATAAGTGAACTGATTGTCCTTAACTAACAGAATCTAAGATTAAAGAACTGAAGTTTATTGACACTTATTTACTTAAAAATACAAAATTAAAAATGTGTCTCAGAGTCATTCATTTTTTGAAATTAATAAAAACAAATTTCAAGAATGCATTATTAAATTATATATGATAAAATATTCCTTATTAGATAAACTTGAAATTATCTTCACTAATAGGTTGTACTAGTACCAGCAACTAAACCTTACTCAATTTTCATTGCAGAAATCTGTGCAATGTGAACATAAATTGTTGTCCTGCAAACATATATTCTATAGTATTACATTGCATAATGCGGAATCTTCTCTAATCCAGAAAAAAATACTGGTCCCTTGAGCTTCCGCATCGGGCAAGTTTTTCTGTATAATGCATTGCAACTCAGTACTCCAGGGACAGTTATATCATATATTTTCCTTGTTAAAAAAATGTCTATTTTGTCTTCAAAAGATATAATAATCTCTCAGATTATTTTATTCTCAATACTTTTTACTCACATTCTATAAGTCTGCATACCTTGATTTATTGAAAGTTAATATAATGTGGAGTGATTTAAAGTAAAACTATTTAAAAGAAATAAAATAGATTAGGTTATTGATTACTCACTCACCTTGCTATTAAGATTATAATTCTAATAGGATCTTTGGCTATGGTGAAGGTAAACATGGCAAATGGAGGTCCAAAAGCCAAAAATGTACAACCAAAAAATTCCATGAGCGTCATGATTATGTTGTAACCCGAACACTTAATGTAATTCACATTAATGGAGAACTCACAGACGCGACGCCCACCTAAAGCATACGGCAAATATCTTGCCACAACTAGCAATGATCGATAAATTGTCAGTATCAGTAAAATTACAGCTGTTCACGCTGTCAAAGGACTGTCAGATAATCTACACACGATGACACCAGACGTTATCAGTGGCACGCCGCACTCTTTTGTGCCGTTCGTACAAATGTGCATAAACAATCAGATATTATTAGCAATCGCCATTCATAAGTGTCCACAATACAAATCGAGTCTTAAATTGTATGCTAAATGGAATAAAACTTTCCCCAGGTTATTTTGCTGAACTGCTCTATCAGCACCTGACTGACGACAGTCCAGTATTACCACTCCTCCCCGCACACCACCGCACACTCACACTGGTCAATGATCAAAGAAAGTTTTACATTTAGAGAATCTCATCTGTTGGCGTACATGCATATTTCATCGCTGAGCTTCTCGCTCCTTTTTCATAGAGATCATAGCCAAACTGAGTGTAGGTGCTCTGTGATAGATATCAGAGATTTATTTTTATCAAAGAATACTATTCCAAGAATATTCTTCCATGATTTCATGTGAAGTACTTTGTATCTGCCGGGTGCCACCTGACACTCTATTAAAACTATGTAGCAGTGTGTCATGTACTCTGCATTCTTATGGTTCGGTGTTCTGATGTGTGGTATTTGGTGTTTTGTTGTGTTTGCTGGTGTGATCCGCCAGACCGGTACAGATGGTTGTGAGGTTATGTGGTAAATTAATATTTCATATTACTCACTTTGATATTGCATAATATCAAAAACAACTAATTGCAATTTTCTTTGAGACAGCAACAAAAGTTCAGTATTTCCGAATAGTGTGATTAATATTTGTGATTTTCCTAATGGACACTGGAGTATTTTGTTTCATGTGTTAGTTTCTTGCAAAGTCTTGCTAGCCACGATCAACCTGACTGCTGTTCATCACGAACACCGAATTTTCCAATAATGTGGGGTTATTCCACAAAGGCAAAATTATTTTTTGGAGGAGTGTGGTCCCTTAGTGTCGGATGTGCAGCCGCAAATTGTTTACCGAATACAGCTTTAATTAATAATGTCAAGGAGGTAGTTCAGATGTATCGGTAAATGTACAATATTTTGAATTTTTAAATAATACTTGTATTTAGATGTAATATCCTATGGTTTTGAAAGGTGTCGGTGGCCTTGATTTTTAATTTTACTTTTAACAGGTATGGAGCACCTGTGTCTCTTCCAGAAAAAATGTCAGAAACAGTGAAATCGGTAATGGATGATATGCAGATTAACCAAGAAGACAGAGATCTCTTACAGCCTTTTACAGTATATGGATTTGATATGTTTCATGCTGGTAGTACATACACAAAATTCGGAGCCATTGTAGGAATACCATCCAATTTTTATTATTCAAAAGTGGAAGATGTAGATATACAGAATATTACTGTAAGTACTGTGTGTGCAAAAGTATGGCATTTTCAGAGCATTTGCAGGACAGTTTGTTGATGGACAATATAACATGATTATGAATAAGATTGGTGGAACCAGACAAATTTTGGGAAGGGAAATTAAAAACGTTTTGGTTGAATGTGTCATATTACTGATTTTGTAAAGTATCACACGCTACACTCAGTTACTGCTGCACCATGATTTTATTTGTTTTAATGATTATTCATAAACATTTTTGCTTGAAAGTTTTGTGACAAGTTAAAATTAATAGTTACTGATAGCATTTCCCTCCCTGTGGACATGTGCCTGAATATGTTAATATGGCGATGGACAGCTTAGTAGATAAGACAGTATCGTGATGAAACAAAATTTTTGGAACCCGCATTTCCATTTTTTATACTTAAAATGTTGTTTATTGTGAGAAAAACATGTTATATCATATCAGATGCTAATATTTCATTGAATTCTGGAGCTCACATCGTAAACTACTTTGTTTTCCATTTGATCATCATTGTAATATTAATTTTGGTTTGAACTCCCACTTGTGGGACACACTCTGTTCTTCTTACGACATTTTACTCTAACATCTAACATGACAATTGGACAGGATTTGGATTCATTTGCTCCAAATATTCTAGCTCTATCTTTAAATATACAGAAGTTGCTTTTAATTCATGTCAGTTATCATTGTTTTTGTGATGTACTATGCGAGTTTGAACCTGCCAACAGTGTAAACAAATGCACATCTGCTCTTGCATATTGTAACATATCTCGTTTTGTAACGATTCATATCTCTCTGAACAGCGTATACTTTAAATTTAGTGCGTTATACCTACTTTATTTTGCCAATAATTGGTTGTATTATGAAGGTTCTTTTGAAAATCATTGGAATTGCAATTTGAGATGTTTGAGTTTAAAATGTTTTGAACTTTTTAGGAAGGCTTTTGGTGTAAGTACATGTGCCTTCCACCAGGTGTGACCCAAGTTCCATTTGGAACAAATGTGGAGGACAAAGTGGTTTGGTGGGTTTTAATGGGGTTCTCCCATTTTCCCTCCCTTTCATTCCACCATTTCTTAATCTTTGCTGTCATGTATTCTGTAGAACACTTGTGGATCTCGAAAGTGGATGGGCCTCTAAACCACCCCACAAATTAATAAATAAATATAAATGAGAGTTTTAGTGATAATTTTAAATAAATAATAGAACTTTTTGATTGGTGGCGAGGCTCAGACCATTAGGCCTGCTCTTCCACCTGACCGCTCAAGGGGTTGTTATTTATTGTGGCAGCAGCAAAAGCTTCCTCATATCACATGTACATATTCATTTCCTTGTGTTTAACATCATAAGAATTATCCTCATCCTCTATCATATCTGCCCCACATTCAGCCTTTCCCTGCCACAGTCGCAGATCTCTTTCTCATTTAGTGGTATGAGCTCTCCCTGTTACAAATTCTTGAGTTGAGATACAACTTTTTTTACTTCAAATTATAATTTTGGGGTTCAAAAAACAATATTTTTCTTCTAAATCAGCCTTTTGTATCCTTTTATTTCATCGCCCAGCAGGTAATGGGTTATTCCAACGAACCCTAGGGACTTCTTAAGTTTTTCAACACATCCATAAGTTCAATTATGCTTATGGAATTACGTTTTCATAAAAATAGTGTTTTTAATATGTCCTTTGTTATCTTAGGATTCCCTTTGGTAATCAAGCCAACTTCTGGTGGAAATGTGATTAATTTTTACTGTCTATCCTTTTGTTGTAAATACTTTACATATTGTTCAATGACTTAGAAAAACTTTTCTCAAATCTTCCTTCAGACCCTGGGAAGGTCCTGCATCTTTCCTTGGCCTTACATTCAATAAGAACTAAACATACATAAACTGATTAGAAATTGTGTGTTACCATTGAACATCCTCATCCTTAGTAGCTCATGAGTAGCAGACTGATAATGTTTATTCAGCTTGTTAGAACTCTCATCCATTCACTTTGGATTATGGAAATAATTTGTACAAATCTTTATTGATAATCCAGCCTTTGAATACCATCCACATTACTAATATATATATATATATATATATATATATA